CAGCGTTACACGCGATTGCATTATATGTTTTTATTGCTATTTATTGGTATAATGCGAGTGGAACGATCCCTTTCTTCCTATCTGTATACCAAAAATAAGCACCGAAATAAACTAAATGCGATTCCAGATTTGGGATCTCATCGGACAACCTGACATAAAAAAATTATGCGAGAAAAAACAAGGACAAGGACTTCACTTTTTTAATTAAATACTTTATACTTACTTTTTTGTGCAATATTTTCAATATAATAAATCCTCATCAAAGTTTTTATATTGGTATTGTACCTAAATGTGTTCTCACATGTGCAAAAAAAAACAAATGTATTCTCTTTATTAGCATAATGAGATGCTCTTTTATTTTAATTTAACGATGTTCAAATTTCTAGTTTAGAGAAATAACATGTATAACGGAGTATTCTCTGTTAGATCATTCTTAGCACAGTACCTGTTACTCGTAAGGAATTTGTCGTGCAGTTTATGGTTCTAATAGACTACTGTAAGTTCTCTCCATTGTTAGGGTTTATTTACGGAAGCATGTACGAGTCTTTCGAATATGTTGTAAAGTTATTATTTATTATTACAAACAATTTTTTCTGCATGTTTGAAGTTTATCTCCTTCGGTAGAGTTAATAGCTTTCTAAAAATTTCATTTGTACAATCACCTACTAAAGTAATGATAATCGGAAGCTTAGTGCCACCATACACTATCTAAAATGGCAACGTTGAGGTTTAAGTTTTTCTCCGAGGATTCGTGTGGGATGGGTCGCACGACGTTTGCCGGATGATTTTGATCTGAAAGGCAACGGTTACTTTATAATGCAGGCGGCCGGCCGGCCAATTCCTCCCATCGATGAGGAATGTTAAAATTACATTGTAAGTATTGGCCGATCGTAATAATTTTGGGAAACTCGCTGGCAAACTGGACAATTCGAGCTTAAAAAGTGATCTATATCTGAGGTTACCTGTGGGCATACTTTCTGCGCACTGCAAAGGGAAACTAAACAAACACATGCACCGCATGGGTATGGTAGAATCACCATCGTGTAGAGCAGTGGTTCTCAAACTTCCATTTCCATGGCGCCCCCTTTCATAAAACTAAAATTCCTCACGCCCCTCCCCCCCCCCATCCCGATTAAAAAATGAAAAGTGCTGTTGCTGCAAACGTATTTTTTTTCATTATGGGGACTCGGAAACTGTAATAGATACAAAGCAGTTTGGGGAAAATGTATGCAAAACTGTATGGTGATTAATTTTCCTTCCAAAAAGTCTTGTAAATCTACAAATAACGAATTATGGTCAAAAAACCGAAAAATGTCATTTTCGAGGATAGGTTGACGTCCATTTATTTCCAAAGACATCAACAAATAATTTTAACAAAAGCTTGGGAAATTTTTCTCAACTTTCTGACGGTGCTCAAAAAGTTGTTATGGGCCATAAAATATTATGTTTTTCAGATTAGAACCGCTTCCGCTTCCAGCGTCCTTAGGTTCATCTCACGTATTTTCAAATCTGCATTTAACTATTTTACAATAGGTACACCATTTATTTATTTGTTTATTTTTCTCTTTGTTTTTCGTTAATCTTTAAATAGTGGATACTTTTGTTAAACTCTTTGCCTTTGTCTCCATCTTGCTTTATTTTTACTGTGATAATATTATTATCTAAAGTTTAACTTTCATTACACCGCTACTATAGCGCGTTCGCACCTCCAGATGCAGTATGGGGTCTTATGGACTAATTGCCTCTCTTACTAGTTTGCGTCATTCTTCGATAATACTATCCTTGTTTCTGACCGCATTGATGTCAAATTGACATATGATTAAATTGAAGTATTAAAACAATACATAATCTCCTTGCGCTGTCATTGTCACCTTTGGCAAGCATGTACTGTATGTCCATAAGCACCATACTGCATCTGGAGGTGCGAACGCGCTATAGTCTATAAATCTCTCGCCACTGATATCATTATTACTGCAATTTTTTTTCTACGTTTAATTTATTGTAGTGCATTTGGAGTTAATATTAACTTGGTTTTTTTATTTATTTGTTTTAGTTTATTATTTTTTAGAACATATTGCTATTTTTTGTCTGTCTTTGTGTATATCCAATGATGAACGTGGAAATGAATGTGTGTATCTATCTATCTATTATAATAGTTTTCAACTCGGTACGAAAACATCGGAGAATTTTATCTGCCTCTTAATCGTGATCTTACACTGATATTTAAAATATTGTACAACCATCTTTAACTGAAATTTTTTTTTTATTCTCCTTTAATTAGACAATCTGCCATAGCTTATTTAACAATAAGTATTTTATAGGATTGGATTAATGATTATAAAATGACACGTGGGGAAGAATTCCAGCGAAGTCTCCCCTTACATTTTTAATATGTAATGTATGCTATGAAAAGAATATAGGTAGGTATAGTATTTGACAAAAGCAATTTACAGTTAATGTTAAAATCTTGTAGGTAAGTCAGATGGTTTGAAACGTTTAAGTCTTCTGGGTTCATCATTATTGTCCATAAGCTGGTGCACAGAATCGTTGGGGTGAACGGTCAGTCTGCCTTTGTATCTTACACTGAAGTTTTTAATTTCACTTTTCACTGTGGGAATGTGTAGATCACTTAAAATCACCTTATTTGGGACGTACCATGGCGCATCAACGATCATTCTCATGAAATTAATTACTAAGACTGTTATGTAACGGAACGCTCGACATTCACACCAAGGGCGCACAGGACGAATAGTTAGGGTAGAGCTCAGGCACCTGCTATTTTGGCATTGCACAATACAGGGTATGATATTTGCCAGATAGAATATGGTTTTGGCTGTATTCAAATATTTCGGAGTCATGAAAGATAATTGCCATTTATGCAAAATATAGTCATAGAAAGGAGGGTAACATGAAAATTAAATATTAGCATAATTTGTACTCGAGCATAAAAGAGGGGGAAGGAGTGGAAATATTACATTAAATCTTACTTGACTTGAGGCAGTTCCAGGACTGGGTTTCACAGTCAGGTGAAAATCGTTTACAATGTAACCTAAAATCATAAAGATGGTCTTTAAACTAAAAAAGAACCAAGCAATTTCGAAGGACCTCAATCAAGACCATTTGAAGCTTTTTGCGTGGCTTTCTTTCGGCGAGGCAATATTTTGGATCAGAGGGGTTATGCCTGAGAAAAACCACTTAAGAAACTTATCGAGTCCGCTTCTACAGCTCAGGGAAAATGATTCTAATTCACATACCTTGTCGGTTTCTCTGAATTGCATCAGTAGCAGACACACTAGGGAGACCAGAGGATTTGCCTCTTTTATTTTGGCCCGAAATCCAATCATTCTACATTTCAGCTAAAAGAATGATCAATTAATATTAATTAATAAAAAAAAGCAAAAACCTTCGATCCATCGCAGAAGCCGATATCAACATAACTGAATTCAAAGTCGCCCTTCTGTAAGTAGAATGTTAAATAGAAAAGTTCCACTCAACATCTACAAGGTACTCCAAACTATATCAACACCCGGTACATTCATCTTAATTGAAATGCACCCTACACTTGTGGAAAAGTTCCCTACGTACGTATCGAACCTAACAAATACATTAATTTGTGTAAACATCCTGTATAATCTTAAATGAAATGTAACCAACACTTGTGGAAAAGTTCCACATTACCTACGTATTGAAATTCTAAGAAATACCCTAAATTAACACCCTGTATATTAACCTTCAATCTTTCCCAAATGATAAACTAGCCCCCGACGTCAAAACAGGATAAAAGATTAATTATGCTAATGTAATTAACGTCATAAGTCCGGTAAATCACTTAAATGAATTGTAACGGTACGAGATAGATACTTCCGGACGAGGCGAAGTCAGGAGGCGAGTTCGGAAGTTCTAATCGAATATCGTTGCGATTTTTAATGGACGTATGGCGTTTAATATTTTATTTCATACTGGCTCTGATTTGATATAGGTATTTAATAAAAATATCATAATGTGAAAAAACCTTAGACAATGAAAAAACCAAAGGAAAACTGCGACAAAAGTCGATTGGTCTCCATGGTAATATAATGGTCTCAGTTTTGACGTTTTATTGACATTAATTCTTACGACATCAAAACGAGTTCGTTTTGCGATTTGACAGGATCCGAGTCGTGACATTAACTTTACCGGACTAAAATGGATGCCATTTACGATAGTATACCGGACAGTATGAAATAAAAGGAATTTTCCATAACTCGTAATTCCCATATACTTAGAAGGAAATGAAATGGAATTTTCAACAAAACCTCTACGTAAATGAGAAATCATAATGTATGGGCAATTTACCCCTTACTTAACTAACAGTAAAACAACCCACCCACAAACAATTAAAATAAAATTAGATTTATCATATCACGTAGTAACCCAATCTACAGTCACTAATATAAAACAAAGCCTACAGCCTACTTATGCATCTCTGTTACTCACGAGGAAAAAAACCATAACGCATGTATGTACTTACCGACCTTGTGCAATTGAATTGTGCACTTCCCGCCAAATCATTTTCCAGTAGGGTAACTTGCGTTGTTTCGCCTTTAATGAAGTGGACAAAAATGTATAGCGGGAATTCCTTCATTTTTAAAACTCACAGATATCATCACAGGGTGAAGTATACAGCAGCCAAATCTTGAGTGCACGCCGTTTTACATAAAGACCACTGCTATTGACTTTTTAAAAACTAATATTCACAGCTTTCGCTATTATTTTAAACAAAAAATTGAATGCATCAAAACCCAGATACCCGCGCTTCATATTGGCATTTAATTGATGATGCCGGCTTACATTGATAAACCCAATCTATGTAAATTTTGTATTGAGGTGATAAATTACGTTCTCACCGTTTAATAGATCCTCAGAGTGGTAATTAATTAGGCAAGTGTCGTAGGCGGTAATAAAACGACGTGAGTAACAACATTTGCTTTAAGTAATTTGTTCTAATAACAATCTCAGTACATTATGTAACACATTTATTATTTGTAACAATATATAGTGTTATGCGATAATATGGTTATTAGCATATGTTGGTTCATGTATTAAAAGTTTTCTCTTTGCTATACTTGGTCTAAAATATACACTTCCCTAAACAATTCATACAATAGAAACTAGAAATAGTGTAAGTAGTAATTTCTACGATATTATCTAGGTTAGGTCCCAAAAGAAGTAACTTTAAATTTAGTATTGATATTTTGTACATCTACTGCAGTTTAAAATTTACAGCTACGTTATTCAATTCGTTATTTTCATAGGGGGGGAAATAGAAACGGTCGGCAGTTAAACAAACGTCTAGCTGTAATAGTAAAAATACAAATTGAAAAACGTATCGTTCATTGGTCCTGTAAAGCCATTATAAATATATCACATTTTACATTTCAAACATAGTTACATGAATTTCATTTGAGCTAATAGACGTATGTAACCTTATAATTGTACAAACCGGATGGAATAATGCCAGTTTTATCTTTAAGAAATTGCACTTGCTGCTGTGTTTCTCAAATCCATGCAAATTTAATCTACACGTTGAATTTGTGCTACAACCACTATCCTTCCTATGTATGTTAAGTTTACAAAACCGTATTACAAATATAAATATAAAAATTTTGTTTAATCACACTTAAATTCAAATCAACTACAATTTTTTGATATTTATATTTCAATATAACGAAAATATATCTTTGAGCTTAAAGAATAATTGATCTACCCATTTATTGCCCCGATTATTAACAGAAACGTCAATTTCTAGCTATCTAGTATGAAAATAGACGAATTCAGTCAAGAAGTTTTCAGTTTGTAGAATAACTGACTGTTTACGATCACTACTTAAAGCTTTGCCTTACAATAAAATGTGAAGGGTAAAAAGTTACTTCATTTCTTAAATTATTCTTTTTCAATTTGAGTAATAAATATGCAAAATAGAGGGGAGCCAAGTTGACATAAGACACTCCTCAAAGGCATTTACTGTTGTGGAATAGCGTTGTTTTAGGACATCTACTACAGGCTATAATTGATCAGCGTCACAAACAAACTTGAATATTAACATCCGTGCACTTTGTTTAGCGATGGGTGAAGTTGTTTTTGAACACATTCAACGTCAATTTATTTTAAGTAATTGCAAAATGAGACAACGCTTTTTGTGTATTTTAAATTTAGATTAGATATGTGTAGCCATATTAACATAAACAAAGAACGCAATCGACAAATTATTAGTATTAGCCATCACACATCGGAACTTTTAAGTCCTTCAAGAAGCGGTGCGGTGATTTTAGTTTCGTCAAACGTGATGCTAACGGGGGATGATCGGTCTGGATCCGGCATCGACGATCGCCGAGAGAAGCTGATGGCGTTGACGTTGATGTCTAAGCTTGTTGCCATTCTGGGTTGCTTAGTTCTTTCTACGTTAACAGTTGGCTGCTCGAAGCTAAATGACGTTTTTCTAAATGGCGTCGATGGGTTTACTACTGATGTTGAATAACTGTTTGCCGTCGAGGGAGGAGGTTCCACCACAAGGAATGGCGCCTCCAAAGATTCGCTCGGCGTTTCAAAGCTGACGGTCGGTTGATGCACGATACAAGAAGGTCTTTCGGTCGCGACCGATCTTCTACGATCGAAGCTTAATATAGGTTGATCAAAACTAATAAAATTACGATGGCGCCCAAACAGAGGTCTATCGCCACAACACGAAGGTCTCCGGTTCCTTCCATAGGATGATATTGACGTTGCAATTGACGGTTTTCGGCGTCCGGGCCTTTCGATGCTGACAGACGGCTTGCGATCGCGATGTGAGGCTGCCATGGGTAACATTGAATTGCAACTCGATGATGTCGGACTATACTCGTTTAAAACTAAATGCTGTATGTCGATTGCGGATTTTACACGTCGCGGCGGATTCATAAATGCCATTGTCGAACTACCAACGAACACCGAATTCTGCCTCGGCCTTCTAAGCGGGTTAGGAGAGGGCAGACCGGAGTAATCGTTGAGACAGCTCACGTTGTACTTCGAAAACGACATTCTTTGCTAAAACAGAATAAAGCATGAATCTTGATAAATACAACAAACCATTTCAGTCAATCTAAGTCTAAGCCTAGATATAAAGGTAGGGGAATTGCTCTTATGTTCAAGCGAAAAGCATATTATTATTGCAACCTTTTCTTCTCTCTTCATGAATCGTTTGACTATTGTAATGCTCATTTTCGAAATATTTCTTCAGTTTTACGACCCATGAAGTGTCAAGCACATGCATGATAAAGGGATTTAAAAGACTCTTTTATGTGTCGGTATATCTATATTTGTGGGGTATAGAGGCATTTTCTGTCAGAGTAAAAGAAAAATATTGCAAAATAATCTAATATTACCTACATATACGAAATTGCAATTTCCTTTATGTGGCTGCGTATTTCGTTTAATCAACATTTCGCTTATCGTGTGTACTACTTTTATATAGCGAAATAATTAAAAATGACTTGTGAGTAATGATCCGATGATATATAAAGGCCCTCTGAAATCATCCTCATACAAGTACGTATTAACTTAGTTAAGGCACGGATAACATTGTCTGTGGTTAAGCAAATCTGATCGTGTACATAATTAATAAGACATTTTTTTACAAATAGATAATATCTTTTCTCAGGGAGTTACGGCAGATACAGAATTTCCCACATTCGAGGGTTACCAATGGAATCTCGGAAACCGTCACATTTACGATGCCTTTTAAATGGAGGAAAAATTGTGCATTTTGACACCGACTCTAACGCTATTTAAAAAGTGAAGGGATTCCGGACCTGAAAAAAAAACGAAGTTCGCTAATTTCAATTTTATTCTTTGTGATTTATTTTTTGATATTCAACTTTATTTTTTATATACGGACCTACATTTGTTATTTTGTACCTTTTATATCTACACTTTTTAAAAGACTGGTCACTCGCAAGATAATGTCGTCTTTGGTTTAAATTGAATGTAGGTTAGATAGATATGCAAGACAATTAATTTATTTAATTTTATAAGACGCTTAAATTGTATAAAATTCGCAGGTGTTTTCTTTGTGTTAAGGTTTATTATCATTTATGCGTTTACATTAAACGGGAGAGGTTTATTGTCAGCATGGATAGCATAGCGATTCCTGCCTTTAGCGGCATTGGAGTCATTTAGATAACCGTAATCGTTAGTTTCTGGAATATTACATAGCATCGTCATACAAATTGTTTACATCGTACTACACCAAGTACACGGTTTCAGAAACGGGAGCATATTGTTCTCCCATGTATTTATTGTTAGCTTAAGCATATTGATTGGAATATTGTGTCACATATGATCATTTCAGTGTCCGTTAATAGTTCTAACTGTGCCTGTTTAAACATGACATTAAACGCTACATCAGTATTTAAACATACTTGGCGAAAATTTTCAAAAATGTCAGGTAAAAGTAGAACGTCAGTTTTTAGATAGTATTTTCCAAATGATTTAATATTAAATTTATGCCAAATATTGACTGCATAATCAATAAATTTAAAACTAATAATATCTTCAATTAATTTAGTAAATGGTACATATTTTTTTTTATTCACAGGTAACAGGGGATACACGACCAGGACTTGTAGTAGCCAATTTCCTAATATAATAATGAAATAAGAATCATACCCTGACAAGTTGTGAATAATCGTGTGAGAATCGGTGTAGTTTAGATTACAATACGAATGCGATGAGCCAAGATATTGACCTGTAAAGTGATTATGAGTTATACGTTTTCGCATGATATTGTTGATATCCCACTGTGCAATACTATGAAGTTCCTTTACCCTCGCGTAACCAAGCAGGGTAACTGAGTTACCCCAAAAGTCTTTCTTAGCATAATTTCGTAAAAGTTATGTTTTCACGTACGATGCTGTACCTAATACTCAAATATACTTAGTTAGGCATATTTACATTGCAACTGTACATTTATCTAATTTGATTTGTGTAGGCATAGGTGGTGAGTGAATTATGCAGGGTATCGTTCTGGAGATATCCGCATATATTCCTATGCTCCACGAAGCTTAATGAGCATGAGCCTTTGACGCGGTTTCTGGTAGCGTTCGATTATTATATCGCACCTGTGTTCTCAAGGAGGGCAATGAGAGGCATTGCTCGACGGTGGTTGATCTATTGGCCGAGGGTGCTAGTCACAGGGTCGAGGCGGGATGTTTATCCTAAAGAGTAGACGTGAACCATTTCTCAAATAATAGGGTTGAGTTCCACTATAACTCTTCATCAATCAGAGTGTTTGGAGGGAGGTCCATGTTAGCTCAGTGTCAACTCGGGGAGGAACGTCTCTCGGTGTGAGTTACCCAATTCATTGACGATTATCGCGGTTACGCAGTCGCAATTGTATTAAATCAAGTAACCAAACAAACCACACAATGCTGGGGAATTTGCGAAAGAAATGTTATAAAGGTGTCCAATGCATAAAAAACAACTGGGATAGCGTCGCAGGAAAAACCAAGGAGTGGTAGCCAGAAGATCAAATCGCTGGTTTTCTGAAGGGCGTTATAAGAAGACAGATATTAAATTTTTATATGGAAAAAAGGTTTCCGACCATCGCTGAGTTGCATCAAAAACTGTCTAGTACCGCGTTAAAAACGTGGGTTAAAGACATGAATGTTGCCTTTAGAAAACTGGAGAATCTTGATGCAAGCAGCAGCTTTTAAAACAGGAGAATGTTTAGACTCAATCAAAAGGTATAGAGAAATCGAATGGATTATATTTTTTTACCGAGGAACCATGGTGCGGCGCAAACCATTCCAGAAAATTTGAATGAGTTGAATTTGGAACCTCCGAAATTCGTGCCGGTTTTGATCAATATAGAGGAACAATTCAAGAAATAAACGGGTACAGAGGAGGAATCAAAAGGGCGTAGTAAATGCTTCATTGGGAAGAAAGGTTCGGCAGATTACTATGATGAAAAGGTCAACGTGTTTCATTCCTCATTCCCCGAGGGATACCGGTGGTGGGCTGCTCAGTATCCTGACCCTCTTCAGCCAGAGAACGGGAATGCAAGGATGGGTAAAGTTAGGATGGGAACGGAGTTAGCGTGTTGAGAGGGTAAAGTATTGCTAGTACAAGAAATTTAGCTCTTCGGGCTAAAAAAAATTCATAACACGTGACGATTGATATTAGTTCCCCAGACAATGCTTTTTAGCAGGGGATAAAGACTTCAAAAATCCTAGCTATGGAAAATTTACAGGACCCAATTGTAGTGTTCAAGTTAAAAGTCGCACTAGTAATCCGAGCTCTCAGAGACGGTCTTGTAAGTTCCATTAAACATGGAGCACGCGTCTGGGTGTGTGTTTGTTTAAATGTGTGTGTGTGTGTGTGGGGGGGGGGCACACCCATTTCGTGTTAGCGAACGTATACTGCTCGAAAACGACCTGTGCTTCGTGTTCTGACTTAAGTGACACAAGCAACTAGATGTCTGGTCTCGCTGTAACTCATGAAAAACTCCAGACTGTGCACTGTCTATCAGAAGACGGCAGCCCTCTTTCTTATACAAATAGGCGCCTAAATGCAGCAAAATTTGAGTAATGAAACACCATGGGCGACACGCTTGTGTCATTGCCTGAGCGATGGCCTGGCGAGTCATCTTACGGGAGTCACTGTCGGACTCGATAACGATACCTAGTAAACCATTATTAGTGTTTCTGGTATAATTACTTGCTGAATGATCCTCGTAACAGTAATTGTAACCTTCCAATTTTCAAAAACGCAATTTCCAGCCCGAAATTGTACGGCGCTGCGATTTGTCGTCGATCGTTAACATTCATTTTCCTCTTTCGTTCGTCAGCTGAGATGGAGTGCACTTGATTTTTAATCAAACAGCGAAACTGGGATGTTAATTGCTGCCACCGATATGTATTTATATAGTATTGTGCAATTAAATTCGGTTACTTGGGGGCTTCCGCATCAATTTGTGAATGGAATTTCACCCATTTACTCCAGTAGGAGGATATAGTTGTCTTCTTCCTTTTCATTGTAAGTACGCCATTTGTATTTAATCTGCTTGAGGTAGGTATATCTTTTTTATGTTTCGGTTGATATTTCATATCGCAATTAATTAACCCTCTTATTTAAATAGGTATGTACATTTAAGGTTATTAAAAACGATTAAATAATATTTCTTGCATATGTACTTAAATTAATTGGTAAAGATTGGCGTTTCTCTAATGGACGTTTTTTCGAACGTATTTCGCTAGCCTAATTCGCTAAATTCAACAAAAAGTATGAAACTATGTGTACTTATGCATAAATAAATGACAATTCAAACAAAATTAGTTTAATAAAAATCGGCCCAATAGTTTTTTTTTCATAAACGTTTAAAGTGAGGTGACTAAACTTTTTACGTCAACAGTAAATGCGCGTAGTGGACGAAATTACGAGATATATAGTTATAGATAAGGACGGACCAGGCCGACGAAAGGCCTCCTACAGGAATCCTTTCCGTTCCGGAAAATTCCAAATCGTAAAGTCTAAAATCCACAAAATAATTTCGTTTGTTGTATGCGTTTCGGCAGTAAAGCTATCATTACCAGCGGGCTGTCGGTGGGAAGACTAAGTGTCTAACGCAATTTATGAGAGCGAACGGAATTTTCATTGAAAAGTAAGAGAAAAATTTTCGGGCCATTGGAGCGGAGACCGTTCGTATCATAACATTGTGGCACGGATCTGCATAATCCACATCATTAGAAGACGTGGTCAGTGTAGGAGAATAGCAAATTTTCGTTTTATCGTGATGATACGGTTGCTAATAGCGTTCCGTAAAATGATCTTTTACATGCATGGATAGGTAACCTGGTCCATGACGGAACTTAAAAAGGCAAACGATTTTAGCAAAGCACCTCCTCATTAAACATGCCGCTTGCGTGCACGTAATCTTTTTCATGTTAGTGTTTTAGCCCGCCTAAATGGCGTAAAATATCTCCTTTTCCTCTCATATCTTAATTGCGGAATTAAGCGAAATCGATCTAGATGCGTGCTTATACTACGAAATTAATTTTGTGCTAATTAGCTTCACTAAAAGTGCAAACTACCGCCATCCGCTAAACGCCTAACGTCGGTCGTTTGTTTTAATTTGAATTTGACTCAATCTGTCGTGCGACGTTAGGGTTTTAACAGAGGCTTATAAGTGAGCTAATAAATAGACTTCCGTATAGCATACACAGATCGATTTCTGTGGCCGTTGCACAGTGCTCACTTGGGGGGTGATTCCGGGTGGACTTAAGGGCGCTAAGGGACACGACGGTCGATGAGATTGTTGAAACTTCGGCTGATACGGTTCCAACATCCTAATCTTTCCCCAGCGATTGAAAAAAAGGGCGATCGCAGCCACCCACAGCGTAAGGACAAGGACCACAAGCAGCACCTCTTCTGCACGGACTATCACTACTGGTCCATCTGCAATAAATAGGAAATAGGTATAAGTTATTACAGCAAATGCGATTTGTATTGTAATTACTTTCGACTATGACATGCAATTTTTCCTTGTATTTGTAGATAGCTAATTGAGCTAATAAGACGAAAATAATTAAAATTGTTATCACGCGTAATGGCCAATTAATTTTAATGATAATGAAATAGTTGGATTATCTAGTATATAAATTTTTTGATGTAATTAATGGTGTAAGATCCCACATAAGGACATCTGTTTACTGAGTGAATACATTACTTAGAAGAACGTTGGAAATATTGTGTACACCACGAGCAGCTCTTTCACACGGATCAGTACAGTTGTTGCATTTTTAAGTAGCGCGCGCGCGCGAGAGAGAAACAAGTGCATGGTTCTGTGTGAAATGCGAGTAGAAGGACGCAGCATAACACCTGATCGTGGTGTAAGCATTGAATGTAAGAAAGTGCGCATGCGCTCTTTCCATGTGACAGAAGCAGACACAAATATTAATTACATTAATTTTAATTAAGGGTAGTTTTGACCTAATTTTTTTAGGCAACCCATTTGCAATGTGTTTGTTTACATATCAAAATTGCTAAAAAAGGTTTTTCACTCGGAAAACAGATTTATTTATTTATTTATTTATTATCCCTCTCTTGTTCTGGACCCTCAACAGATGAGCGAAGGTTGGCCTTATGTGGGATCTTGGACTATAACGAGTTGTTTGATGAAAGAAAAAAACTGATGTTGCATTTCAACTTAAATATCAAAAGTCCTTTTAGTTACGAATAGTAATCTCAAAATCTCCTCTTACACGAACGGTACTAATGACACAAACAATTGAAATAATTGAATCTAGCAATATCAGTAATGCATATTTGTGATTAAAGGTAATGCGTTTTAAGTTTTAGCAAACAAATTTTGATCGCTATACTGTGAAGAATTTATCTGGTCTGGTTCATCTAACTTAATTATTGAATCCGTGCAATAGTGTGCTATTTTGTGTTGGTCATGTTAAATTTACATAGTCAAGGTTCCTTTTGTCACATATCCTAAGCAATGGATTACCTTACTGTTTCGTTCGTTGTGGTTCCCATTATTGAAGCTTTACGTTCAACTGATAGATGTTCTTTTTGCATATAAATCGAACATCTCTGGGGTTGTAAGGTTTTCCTTCCCCGAATTCATCTGAATTAAAACGTGTTTTGCGTATGCACCCGAAGTTTTATCAACAAATCGACCAATCTTCAACTTATTTCTATTGCTGTGACTCGTACGGGCCGTTTATACAACACATCAAACCAGGCACAACAAAATATATTTCACTTCTGACTTTAAATTCTTGATTCCAAGCAAACAATGGTCAAGATCAAACTCCTTAAGCTCCAAAAAGGTCACTTACCAATTATTGAAAGCACTTGAAATTAACCTTTGGGCGAGGATCAACAGAACGTTAAACATAATTGGGCATGAAAGATCTCTCTGAATCGTTAAAGGGATCGAATAAACACACGACTTGTATGATTTTACATTAACAAAATTTATTCTGCGACCACAAATGAAATTGAACATCCTATACTTATAAAATTGGACCACAGCGTCCGAATAAACAAACCACGCACATGAGTTCGATTACAAATTAAATAAACATCTCAAAATCTTAAAATTAAACTAACTAAACTAACTCTGTTAGACGCGATTCTTCTCAAATTTTAAAACAACAAACACTTCAATTTGGCCTAGCAATTGGCAGACGAATTCTCCAAAGGACCGCAACTTGACGAAAAAGCCTCTTCCAACGAACGGCACCCCGGCCTAGAACTTGGCAAGGAAGCGTCTATCTAACGCCGACTGCAGTATTTAAACGGACTTCCCTCTTCCATCAACCACTCGAAAACTTCTTATCCAATAAATAACCTTTGGTAACTTGACAAACCAATCGACAACCTGCGATAGGATTCGTGTTCTTTATCACGTACACGAATCTTTACTCGGAATTATCTTATATAAACTATTACATTTTTACGAAAACAAACAGTTAACAAACAAAACCCCCCTTATATCTAGACAATTACATTTTCTTTCATAAAATAAAGGAAATGCTAAATAAATCAAGTCGGAGCTGTCACAAATGAATTAACAAAACAAAAGTGATAACATAATTTGAGACACACATTTTCTTAACCTTAATTCCTTTTACAATGCAATAATTAAACAAAACAGTTACGCAAATTCGTTTTGTTTATTCGTAACTAATTCTACGAAATTGATTAACATGAGTTGTAATGGCCATTTGATTAATAATTAGAATACCCGCATTTATTTCAAATACCTGGATCTAAACCTCAGCGTCCCAAACAAACCGACATTGTTCACACAGCATTACATTTTAAAAAGTTGAAGTAATGACTCGGGCTGAGGTTACTATTTAACTGAAAAAAATTCAAATTTCCAACACTCTCAAATTCAAATAGAATAATGGCCGTTTGCACCGACAAATTTAAGTGGAGCTTAGCTTAAGATAGCTTAAAATCCATGGAAATCCATTATTGCGATAATGGTTCCCATGGATTTTAAACTACGCTAAGCTAAGCTCCACTTAAATTTGTCGGTGCAAACGGCCATCAGTTACCTTAAGTTTATCGTAATAATAATAGTGATGCACGTTGGTCGTTCTAACTCGAAGTACTGATTGATCCAACATGCCGAGGACAGTTGATACAAACCCCCAGGTAATGCATGACACCCTTGGAAGTTCAATTGAAATTAAGCTCACTCAAAATTACGCTAGACCATGGTAAATGTCAAAGTCGAAAGATATACAACATGAAATTTTTTGTTTGTTTATCCACCTTGAAATATTACATGACTTAATTTCGCACGTTTAAATACTTCCGCTATTGTTCGTATTTCGCAATATTACTTGTCTCACAAATAAAGTTTATTTAAGGTCACGCAGTTAGCCTTTGTAGTTCAACAATTTCCTACATTGTTGTATTTAACCTAATAGTTAATGAGGGATACTCAAAACTTTAATTCACAACCTTACGCGTTCGTTTTTTCATGTACCTATACTTAGTTACGGTAAACGCCAGCAATTTTTTCCGCAAATAATAAACACCCTATTATTAGAGTTGTCGCACTTATGGATAAACGACCCTATCCACCCTATGGTAATTTATAGATGCCCAACCCAAACTTTGGTCCTTTATCGATGCGCCTGCTCTCTTGCATCAACTCGAATTCGAACACAAAATAAAATCCACCCTACGATAATTACAGGTAACTTAACTCGCTCGCGGCTCAACGTAAAATTTTGTAACACATATTGAACACACCCTGCGTTAAATTATAGGTGATCGACTTTACTTCACGCTAATTTTCCCTCGCCGTTCGACGCAAATTCCCTCGTGACTTAATACCACCTGGCTCGTGGTTCCCCACAAACTACCAACTTGCCCACTACTTTCCCATTCCGGCACGGGAAATTCTAAATTGAATGAAGAATTGAGACGTGTAAAGCTTCATTATCCATCTCTGAGATTATTTTCAAGCTATATTGTTTTGTTTTTTATTATGACGGTTATAATTTGACTAGGGTATTCACTCTTAATAGATATAGAAATAGTAGGTACTACCTATTCAATAAACGATAGTGGACGTGCCTGCAAATAATGGTAACTATAATCTGATTTCTAGCAGGCGAATTCTTATACCGGGTGATTCATTAGAAGTGAGGACAATTTGAATTTCCCGCAAATCAAAAAAATTATGAAGTTGGTACTAACTGATGATCATTTATTTAATTGCAGTGGTGTATCATCATGCTCTCAGTAAATCGTTTACTTATTTATAATCTATAAACACTGCTTCTGTTTTACCACAAAGTATAAACTAACACTAGACACAGTCATGTTTCTTACATATTTTAGTGCATCAACTCTAAAAATTGTTCAAAATGGAAAAAGTAATAAACCGCAAATAGCACACAACATTTAACGGCGACACTGGTTTCTTAAATGACAGTCATGACAAAAAAAAACTAACTAACGAAATTCAAACCGTCAATCTAATAATGCAAAAAATACTAAAACCTTACGCGCGAAATTCAAGCGATCATCACTTCTAATGAATCACCCGGTAGTATATAACGCATTTATGCTGTATCCCTGTTTCTCTTGCTGTGGGTACTTGCTTAAACAGTTAAGTTCTTCCAATTAGTTCTGCTCTTAATGCGACAGCAGCTCTAATTTAAAAAGGGTTGGCTAATGACTAAAATTGTCTCTTATTTAGGTACGCTTTAATAATAATAATATAATCAAGTGAGCAAAGTACTAATTAAGTTAACTACGCATTACATGACTTGGATTTTAAAGAAACGCGGATCATTAGGCTCTCGGAAACCACAGAGCGGCAACTCTATAGGAATTAAACCACTGTCTGGAAAATTAGAAGACCATTTCTGTATTAAAATGACGGGATATTCTAAACTAGCCTGTATTAGCGTGAAAGCTTATACCGTGTTTGGATCGAAGTTAAAAACGTGATGAAGAGCTTACCTATCCCTAGATTAGAGGGCGTATTGTTGACCAGTAGTGCGGTGGAGTCTCGGAGGTCACCCTCGCGAACTTCCACCTCCATGCCTTGAGAGTGGCCGTTGTGGCCCGCTTCCCACTCTAGAAAGACGTACAAGAATAAATGATACGCACATATCGTGAATACCTACGCATTTAATCTACCTAAACACGCTTATCTACTCATAGTTTTGACTGGATAATGAATATTTCATACTTTTTTTACAAAGTATGCGCATTACATTTCAATTGGAAAATACAAGTGGATTGGATACAACCTACATCATGTGAAATGAAATAACATACCGTGCATATTAGAGTAGGTAAGTTCCTATTTAATTAATTTTATTAGAAGTTGTAAATGCGGGGCTGATACTAAATCCATCAAAATAAATTGAAAAATAAGTATTTTAAGGGCAATTATCTGTATGAGTATGACCTTTCCCAAAAAAATTTTGGAACTCCTAAGCGGTAGAGCCTGGACTTCTGTTCTTGAATTATCGGTAGGACAGAGATCCCCCTTGTGGCCCTCTATCTCGCGCCGGTCGACGGAGCAAGCGTTCCAGTATGATTATAGTTCAGTGGGTGCCCGTGAAGTTAGCACGGTCATTAAAGGCACTAACGACGGTACATGATCACATCGTTAGTGCTTCGCTAGTGGTTTATAACTTGCATCAGCACGACCAGCCGTTTCCGAGAAAACGCCTCGCCCCCCTTTGTACAGCGGTGGCTTCCTGGCAATAACGATGGAACAAATGCTAATCGTTAGTGCTGATTTATACCTCGGTTGCGGACATTTCTGATTGTGTAGATCACTAGATAGCTACTTTGGGTGTGCACTTATTCTTTTATTATACTTGTCACTATAATGCTTTATCTCATATTTCATTGATTTCAACTGCAGATCATGTGCGATGAAGTTGTTTGGAACAGACCATGGTGCGTCAACAATCATTCCTAGAACCTTTGTTTATTTATTTATTTATTGTCACGTTTTTGCGTCGGGAGACAACACAACCTCGAGCTAAAATCAACTTTTTGCAACTTAGTGACTTGAAATTTCCGTAACCAAGGTTTCTGCTCTATTTGTGAGCGCAAAGATCGATACTGTATTCATAAATACAACATGGGATTTCTATTATAAAGCAAAAACTTCCTACATCGGATTGTAGTGGTGGAACCATCATTGTTTGGGTTGTACAAGGTGGCCCAAAAGAAGTCATCCGATGTTGTTAGGCTCTCATTTTTTTTCTAAACGAAAAACTTCGATTCTGTGTTTATTTGAACCTTTAGAATTTTATTGGTCAAGTCGAGAAGATGATATCGGTCAAATGGGCGCCGTCACAATTGATTGCTATAAGGCTCGTTTTATGGCATTTTTCATCACTTCGGCGAGAACTTCGGGCGACAGATTCTCGCACTCGTGTCGAATGTTGTCCTTGAGGGCTTCCAGGGTCTCGGGCTTGTTCATGTAAACACGGGACTTCAAAAAACCCCACAAAAAAAAAGTCTGGAACGGTTAAATCGGGCGATCTTGCGGGCCAGTGTACGGAATTCGCGCTGCGCCAACACCACAGACGAATTGTTACGCAAAGTTACGCAAAAAAATAGACCCGATTTTTCCGAGTTCTTGGAGAGTGTATCGCTCCATGGCTTGTTCACTTGTATTCTAAACCTGTCTAGTTCACAAATGTCAAAACAGATTTGAAATTGGCCGCCATTTGCAAAAATAAGAGCATCTTCCAATAGGGTGATTCTTTTATTCACAAAAATAGCACTTACTTGATGGTAGCTGGATCAGCTTTAATTTTTGATGATTCCAATTTCCTGAAGTCAGCATTGCACAGCGTTGGGAGGGGGGGGGGTCTCGGAAATCGGCGTGCGTGCTGATGCATGTTATAAGGCACTAAGAGGCACTATCGAAGTACTGACGACTAGCACTTGTCCCGTCGTTACGACTTTCAACAGGGTAAGAACTCAGAACTGCACAAGGGGAGGGGGGACATTTTATCGGAAACTGCCGGTCGCGTTGAAGCAAGTTATAAGCACTAAGAGGCACTAAAGAAGCACTAACGATGTGATCAGGTATCGTCATTAGGCCTTTTGAACGTGCTAACTTTACGGATACTCATATGCTTGTCATTTACATAACGCAGAGCTCACCTTTAGTTATACCAACCGAGAGATCGTTTATAATTTTGTATTACTGTCTGTCTATCTATCTCGTCTGTCTGTCCGTGTGCACGATAGGTTTGTGTAAAAACGTCCGGTCGCTTTGAAAGTTGATGCACATGTTCTTCAGGATATAAGAAAGGTCGCTATTGTTATTCAGCTACGTAGTTGTAAAAATAATGGAGCGTAACACTTTCGCGATTAGACTAACGGGCTAAACAGTTACAGCCCAAAAACTGTCTAAACCTACAAAAAAAGGTTTCTTTTAAAATTCTTGTTACAAAGAACATATGAATGTCGGGTTTTCTGTGTTAGTAAATATTCCTTAAATTTCAAGCAACTATGCAGGTAAAAAATCGCGCATGCGCAAGGCAATTTTTTTATTTGCGCAATCCCATTGTTTTTATTGGTTGAGATAAATTTAAATGAAATTTTGTATGTAGGTACGAACTAAAACTAATTCCGAATCAAAAACTTTGTTTTGCGCATGCGCAGTTGTTTTTTTAAAATTTGTTACGATGTATTTAAATGAAATGTTGTATGTATGTTGAGTAAAATTAAAACTAATGCCGGTTCAAAAAATTCGTTTTACAAGCTACATAATGTTGATCTGGTAGTACAGAATCCACCCCTTAAGGTGTGTTGTAAAAATGATGGATATATTGCTGTGTTATTTTGTCTGGCAGGACGAAATTTTGGGATTCTTAACTAGAATGGACAAGGGCGGTTTCCTATTTTCTATGTAATTAATTTGCTTAATCTAAATTTTTGTTTTGTGTCGTTCGTTAAGTACTTCAACAGAAATTATTGTTACGAAAAAGAGGTCAAGGTTTGTATTTGTTTACATTTTAATCTCATCTTTAATTTTATTTAACTTAGATTTCTGAGAATTTTATATCACTTTTATTCTGTTATCATTGTAAACGCTTAATTTAATTGACAGGTGGATGGTATTTATCGCCTTTTCATTGTATTTAAAAGATAGAAAATTCTATTTTTCCTAGTATTTTAATTTTGTGTTATCTCTTAATGTCGGTTAAAAATTGATTATAAAAATAATTTCTACCTCTGGTTTAACGTGCGTTAGGGGGGATATTTTCTGTTGGCAACTGCTTATCATTGGCTGTTTTAATTTGTAATTTTGGAAGAAGGGTTTCCACTTTAAATAGAACGGACTGAGAAGAGGAGGGGCTTTTTGCCAAGTTCAGAGCGGAACTACGTTTGTTTGAGATTGAAATCAGCATTTTGTTGAAGTTTGAAGTTTTGGTTTGGGAGTTTTGAAGTTTTTATCGTCAGTTTGTTGCCAGTCAGGGCAGTTTTTGAGTTGAGTGAAGTTTGTTTGTTTTCGCTTCGGCGAGTTACCGCAATAGTTTGGATTTGTGTAGAGGCCAGCAGCATTGGAAGTTGGTGGAGTTTCCGTTTTACGGAGTGGCAAGCCGAGTTGCGGCAGTTTTGGAAGTTTGGACCTTCAGTAAAGTGCGTCACTAAGGTGTGGTCGGCGCCGACTTGAGTGTTTTTTTGTGTAATTTTGAATTTTGTTGTTTTTTTTTTGTGTACCGTATTTGGGATTAGCAGTTTTGGACATGTACCGAATCTAAGTAAGATTAAGTTTTAATTGTAGTTTTTTTCTTTGTAATAATTGTTTGTTTTCCTTGTTGTTTTTTTTATTGTGTAACCATTAAAACTGAAATTTGTAATTCTCACATTAATTTCTGTGTTTGTCTTTCGAACGATTTCATTTCCTTGAATTTACTGTTTTCTTTGAATACTTGCCCAAGGTCCATTTTATTTAATCAAAATTCTTAAGATTGATTTGGAATTTAAGGTATTTGGTCTAACCCACTATCTGGTAGAAGTTAATGGTTTAACTGAGAAAAGAGTCGAATTCCTCCTCTGTGCTGGGGAGAAGTTTTGTTCCGAGAGGAATAAAGGTTTGAGCTAGCTAGGTTTGTTTAGGTGTTTTGTGTACGGTCTTTTTGGCCTACGGGTGCACACAGCAATATGAAGATCTCGAGGATCGTTCGGTATACAGTGGTATCGGATTTTTTATCTTCATCCCTCAGTTTCATTTTTTGAGCCCGCAGAGAAGCTTGCAATATTCATCTCTGATTTTCGATCTTTGAGACAATGGATATTCATATATGTATACATATATATCCATAGGTATTATCTACATCGTTTCCATATAACAAAAAGAAGCGGCGCCATAGTTGATCCCTAAGGAGCGCCGACAGTGAGTTTCAATGTAGAGGAGTTGAATTTAGAATGAACTATGTTGCCATGTCTTGCCGTAACTTCAAGTTGTGATCTTCTGGACAAGAACGACCGTATCAGAAGACGGCCGATTTCAATAATTCTATATATTTCAAGGCCTTCGGTATATCAAAATAGATGCCCATCGTATATAATTTCTTGTCCAAGGATTCGGAAATGCTCTTGATGGATTTAAAAGGGTCCGAAACAGTTGATTTCCCCGTTAATAAATCCGTTTTGGGTTTTCGAGAATAAGTTGAACCTTTCAAAGTAATCAAATATTGATGTTTCTATGACCCCTGAGAACACTGAAGCGATAGATATGGGCCGACAATTCCTTATCTGATACCGATCGCCCTTCTTACATACAGGGATGACTCTTATGGTTTTTAGAGACGGAGGGAAAATCCCGCTGGTAAAAACGTCGTTTGTGATATGGGTTAAAGGTTTGAAAATAGACCATGCTATAGATTTTAATATTTGACCAGGGATACCGTTTGTGCCAGAAAATTTCTTTTTAAATACCTTTATTAATTAGATAGGGTAATTCGGATTCTGAAACGGGTTGAAGAAAGAAGGATTTCAGCTAATTGGGTGGGTTCCTTAACATTGATGTTGATCGTACTTCGTGTATCTAATTTCATAAACAGAATTCCTTGTTTGTACTATCTGACAAA